GGAAGGGAGGGATGCAGGGAGGGAAGGAAGAGAGGGAGGGAAGGGAGGGAGGGAGAACAGAAGGATGGAAGGGGGAAAGCTTGCTTCTTTGGTGAGACCTACACTTACCTGTAGGTATAATGCTTAAGTATTTAGAATACAGTTAGGAATTACATTGGTTCAGGAAACCTGAAGGAAGCAGGTCCTCTAAGATCCACAGTCTCAATAGCTCCATGTGGTTTGACTAGGTTTACAGTACCAGGCATGATATCCTTTCTGGTAAGCAGACCTGAGTCTAATTACATTACCGTTGACTGTTGCCCAAATGTGGTGCCACTATTGCAAAAGGTGTATCTTGGCTGGTCTTTGTTGTAGGTCATAGGCATCATAGCTGAGTAGGACCATAAAGTTTAGGGAACAATCTTTGAAAAAAATTTCAGGGATCTGAGAATATTTATATGTTATTTTATACTATTTCTAGATTTATTGCTTACAGTTGAGAAACTGTTGGTATATTGTTTGAGAAAACTGTTCTGCCTTTCCTTTGATATGTTCATGTGTTAAATTGCATGATTGGCTTGCCAGAGAAATATTTTTTATACCTTTGGGATAACTTTCCATGCAGTCATCCAAAGTTCATATACATGTCTCTTATATTTTAACACTAGATGATAATCTTATTTTCTCATTTTTCAAACTATTTGAAAGACATTTCTGTCTGTTGCCCTGTATGCTGCACTCCTTCTGTATGTGTAAGGATGGTGGTAATAGCACAAGTCTATTATCAGATATTATTCTGGATTAAATGGGTTAACAGAGGTTGGATTCCCAGCACCTAAACGGCAGCTCACAATGGTTGGTCTCTATCTCCAGTGCCTCTTCCAGTCACCTGACCTCGGTGGGCACCACACATGTAGTGCATAGACATACATGCAGGAAAATCAACCATACACATAAACCACAACAAAAACCTGTAAACTTTAAAAATAATTTTTAAAAAAACCTATCTTAGGGGACTGGACGATGGAGTCTGTAAAGCATGAGAGCAAGTGGCATTAAGCGATTCTTTAGCCATGGTAATTTAAAATTTTACACGGTTTTATTGATTCTTACTGCAGGTGTGTCAAAAATTATGACTGCAGCCCTTCCTGCTCTCAGTTCTCAAGCTGCGGTATCTTAGTAGATGCAGTCTCTAAACGACCTGATCTTCAGGGTTCAGACTTGCAAGAATCCCATCAGATGGATCACTTCACAGCTACCAGCATGACCGTCCTCTTGTTAGAGAGGATGAAAACCAGAACGTTGAAGTTGGTAAACACAGCTGCCAAACACCTCTCCTCTACTTCCAAGGATGCTCTTTGAACTCCCTTATCTGAAGACAAGAAAACCGTTTGGCTAAAGGTCAATTTGCGCTGTGGTTGCACTCTCCAGCACCAGGCTAGCCAGTCATCAGGGAGAGGGGCCTTCCTCACAGGGCGTGGGGGGGACTTTGCTCAGCCGACTTTGCAACCTGCCTTAGCAGGACCCCACTGGGGATCTTCACAACGGAGACTCTGAGCCCTTCTCCCTCACCATTATTCCTCATTTGTAATTTCTCCCTGCAGCTTCGCACAAGCGTTTCACAACCAACTGGCCACGGACCCCTGGCTCTGCTCCAAAGCCACAGGCAAACCCGCACAGCCAGGGAACTCCGCTCGGGCCAGCCCAGATGCACGCGGAATCGGTCCATCCTCGGCGACCAATCGGCGCCCCTCACGCCGAGGCGCCAGCCAATCCCAACGAGCACACGTTGTTCCGCTAACACTTCCCGGAGGTCCCAAGGGTCCTCTCAGGGCGGGGCTGCGGGCGGGGCCCGCCGGACTCGAGCGGCCTTTTGCCTTCTGATTGGCTGTGGTCGGTAGGCACCGCGCGTCCATTGGCTGCATCCAACCGCGCCTGGGCGGGCTGGAAACCAGCTTGCTGAAGCGCGGGGTTGCAGGAACGCCAAGCCGCTTTTTCCTGGACTTGGCGGCCGGCTGACTTCCTCAGGTAACGGCCTGGAGGGAAGGAGGGAGGGCGGCCAAGCCGGAGCGAGCGTTTCCTGGCCCCGCAGAGGGGAGAGGGGTGGCCGACCCTGGTTGCGGGTGAGAGCCCAGCGGGACGAGAGCCGCAGCCGCTCAAGGGCCGCGAGCCGAGTAGGCCTCCTGTTTAATGGTGATGGCAGGGCACCTAGGACTGTGGGGGAAGGTCCTGAGGGCGTGCTCTGCTGAGACTCTTCCGTGGTCCTCGGAAGAGGTACAAGGCAAGGTCCATATCCTCTCCTCGAGCTTCCATGGGGGCAGGGCTCGCAAAAGACACTTTCCCAGTGCAAGTCCATGTTGTAACTCATCGAAGTTACTGCTGCGAATTTCCTTCATAGCCACTCAGGGAAGGTTATTTGAGGTTTGGGGGTTCAGGAGCTGGGAAGACAGTTAAACACAACGTGGCAGTCAGGTTTTAATGTGAAGTTTGTGGGAGTCTGCGGATCAGCTTTCGGCGTTTGTGTTTCAAGACTGACCTGTAACCTCAGATCAAAGATCCTGGCTTGGAGCTCTTGTTCCCTCACTTACCTTTGGAATCTTGAACAAATAATTTCTCTTTTCCCTTGCGGCATTCCCTTTATGTAAAGTAGTGATAATGACAGCAAGGGCTCACAAGGTTGTCTTGAAAATCAAATGGAAGAGCACAGTGTAATGTATCAGAAAGACTAAGCTCAGAATAGGACGTTACGACTTTCAAAACTATTCTACAAAAGAATTAAGAGCATTCAGGACTTGAGCACTAAATTAGATTCAAAGCTAAGGCTGTGTGGTGTCACTAGAACGTAAATACTGCGGGTTGTAAAGAGTGTTAACATGGCCAGGCCGTGTGTCAGGGTGAGCATGTGAAAGGCGATTGTAGGTACACCCTGCAGAAGTATGCTTGCATGCCTCATGCCTCTGTACTGAGCAAGGGCCAGTCTCAAAAATGGAAAGCAACTGCACTTGACTCGAGTTAGAAATGTTGAATGAATGGCTCCAGGTAGACAGGAGATTGAGCATCTGTTAGCATTTTTAATGTTAGAATGTATAGTGTGATAAGGCTTTAGTTTACAATCTTGCTGAAGAAAGCCTGTGGCTTGTTAAAGTGACGTGTTGCACATAAAAACTGTATTAATTGAATAATGGATGATTAAAAGTTCTGATACCAGAGAATCTTTGTGTTTTAAACTACAAAAGAACAAATGGCTATGGGGTTGTTTAAAGTATTTTCTTTTCAAAATTTTGTGCACTGGATGTATGTGTGTTTGCAGGTGCACACATGGCAGGGCTCATGTTGCACATGTAGGTGGCAGAGGACAGCTGGGGGAGTCATTTTGGGATTAGACTAAGGCACTTTAAGTCACTGAGCTGTTCTGCAGGTCCCAAAATGCCTTGTGTTAACCTATTGCCATTTCGCCGTGGCATATAGTTGAGAATAACTGGAGTTTTGTTAGGCAAGTCAAGAAAGACTTCACAAGCCCCAATAGTTTCTGTTTAGAAATATGGACATAGAAAACAAACGTAAAGGTTAATTTCAAAAACAGATATAAAGAGGACAATAATTAATACTCGGTCTGAGGACTGACAGGGTTTTATGACCTCTTGTATAGAGTTGTTGAAGTCTGTTTAGTTGGGTTGTACCTCTTATCTTTGATATATTTGTTATGGTTGGAGAAATTTCTGGTGTGAGGTCAAGAGAATAAAAAATTGAGTAAGTAAAAAGAAATTCAGAGTGGCATTTTAAAATATTTCCGGGTTGCAAATTGCAGGAGGGCAAACTGTGTGCTTTGTTTTCAGTTAATCGAAGCACTTGACTTTGTCAGGGGAGAGCCAGAACCTTGCCAACCCCAGTACGAGCTCCCCTCATTCTAGAGTAAGTTTAGCCAGGTGCTCAGACACACACAGGACAACCTAGACAGTGACCGCCATTCATTCTGGATTTGGATTTCCGTGCAGGAAGTGACTGCTGAGTGAAACACTTCAGGTGTCCAAAGAGAACCTTTCATGTTATATTTATGTCAATCTCTGGTTCCTTCCTTCAGCATCCATAAAGAGACTGCTAATCAGTCTCTAGAGTTTTAGCTTTGTTGGTGCCGTAGAGATTTATTCCGGACAGAATAAGTCAAGTTTTTAAGAACAAAAGGTTGTGCCTATTTCCATCAGGTTAGAGCTGGGTACTGGTAAATAGTGATAGGCTTTCTTGAGAAGCTGCTCATTCCTTATGGTAACGGAGACTCTCCCTGGGGTAAATAGCAATACATATTTTATTCATTTGGGTTTCTACATCATGCTAGTCAGAGCACAACCCTGAACAGCTGTATTTTATATTCCTAAAGATTCTGCGGCTAAATGGTAGAATATAAATGAGGAATTGCAGCATGGCTTATAAGAAACACTGGTGGGCGAGCTAACCCAGTTTTTAAGGCAGTTCATCAAAAAAAGAATAGGAATTATGCAGTGAAGCTCAGCTGCATACAAGCAATGCCAGACGGCTTGAGATTGCATTGGTGAATAGATGTGAACGATCGCCAAGATAAATGTCTTTGAGTTCCAGATTCTCATCTTTATAGGTAGTTTGTACTGCTTTCATTTCTGGGCCGGCTTTGTATAAAGCTAATGTTTGGTCACGATAATAGCAGCTTTCCATTTCGTTTGATTCTATCAAATAATTTTGAAAAAAATAAAAGGTCTTCTCTGCCACCCACAGGAAGCCAGCAGGAGCCTCTGGGTTCACAGAAAGTGGTCTAGTCACAGGACCCAGTATTGGATGCATTTCTTTCATAAGCTCTCCAAGAATTCGCACTTGTTTACACCACGCCCTTGAGTAAGGTCACAGTACTGGGTGTGAAGTTGGCGTGTTCTTGAGTGGCAGTATGTATTCTTGACTAGTAGACTTTTGGAATGAGCTCATCCACTTTAGGGCTAGGTGTGGTCTATACTTACAAAGTTTATATCACTTTTATGGCTCTCAAGTTTTAGGTTATTAAATTTTTCATGTGTACTTTCTCATCTTTTTACCTTAGTATTGGAGGCTACTAAACTCTGCATTGTGATATTTAAATATTGGCTACAGCTTTGATTTATTTCTGTAACCTTTAGTTTTTAGATAAATAGTTCTGAGCCCTGGTTGGAAGACAGAATTACTAATGAAGTCTTTCCTGGTTTTGTTTTTAGAGATTTGATGGTTGATAATGGGCAACTTTCCTCTGTTAACCTTTTACAGGGAAGGAAAGAGTAGGGATGATGTAGGAATTATGCCAAGAATTGATATCTCGGCATCAAAAGATGGTAAAGGGATAACAGATTTTGTATGTGGGGAAAAGTGTCAACAGTGACATTAAGAGCCGCAGTGTTCTAGGTGAGAGTTAGACAGTGCTAACTATGACAACCACCTTTGCTCTGTGGCTGAGGTGAGGTGATTAGAGAGTAGAATTGGTGTGGCAAAAGTAAATCAGCTTCAGATCCTGCCAAGCACTGTGAGGAATGAAAGAAAGGAAGCAGAGTAACTTGCAGAAGTCTGTGTTGAGGACTGGAGTTTTGATGGCTTTTGGCATTGCACGTTGTTAGTCATGCTAATATCTGGAATCCAGCAGTCCAGGCAGAGAAATCCCAAGTCCAAAGATCAAAAGTCTTGATGAGCATAAACCCCTTGGAAATAGAAACCTAGGCAATGGGGAATGGCAGTGTGGATAGGAATCTTTATTAATCATTAAGGGTGATTCCCAGCCTTTTGGCTTGGGACTCTAAGCTCAATGTCATTTTAATCGTAAATTGCTAAGATAATGCTGGACACCTAGAAATTTTCCTTCAGAGCAAAATTCTAACTGGGCTCTGGAGGTGGACTTGGTGGCTCACTGGACAGCTCATGATTAGAGGGATACTTGAGCATTAACAGCCTCCTAGATAAAGAGAGCCATCTCCTCCCTCTTCTTCCATCTGCCTCTTTTTGGTATTTTATATGAGTGATTCTAATAGCAAAGAGTCTACCGTCCCTGGCTATGGAGCATTCCTCTCAAGCTTCCAGGGAAAACTTCTACCCCGGTCCTGTTCTCAGAATTTCTGATTAGTTCCTAGGGAGTGGGTGCAGGTGCAGCTGTCCTTTAGAGTTCCCCCGGGGGAATTCATTCTGAATAAAGATTTGACTCTCTCCAGTATTTGCTGGTGCTAATCTCGGTTTCTGTAACAGGAAGATCAAGATGGAAGGCCTAACTGATGTTGCCTCTTTTTCAACTAAACTTCAAAACACCCTGATCCAGTATCATAACATTGAAGAAGATAAGTGGCGAGTCGCCAAGAAAACGGTAAATAGATGTAATTACTGTTTGGATATTTAACGTATGGCCAAGTCTGATAACTTTTTTTCAGGTTTTATTATTATTATTATTAAAATTTTTCACCCCCTCCCCTCCTCCCATTTCCCTCTCCCTCCTTCCATTCCCCCCTCCCCCCCTTCAGTCCAAAGAGCAGTCAGGGTTCCCTGCTCTGTGGGAAGTCCAAGGTCCTCCCCCCTCCCCATCCAGTTCTAGGAAGGTGAGCGTCCAAACAGACTAGGTTCTCCCAAAGTCAGTCCATGCAGTAGAATCAAAACCCAGTGCCGTTGTCCTTGGCTTCTCAGTCAGCCCTCCTTGTCAGCCACGTTCAGAGAGTCCGGTTTGATCACAAGTCTGATAACTTTTAAAAGATGAGGAAAAATATAGATGAAAAATGATGTGTTGAATTATGTGTAGATGGGATGGTGGGTCATCTTACCAAGGAAGGAACTCGTTAGCTCTTCGCTTGTTGGAATTGATAATCGGTTCATGAGGGCAAAGAATGGTTTTCCAAACCAACAAAGAAAGAGTTTAAGGTTGGTCATTGAAAGTCTGCATGGAAGCCAGATGTATCAAGCGTTTGTGAGTGGCCAGTTAGTGTTCCTCTTTACCATGTGACCTGGCCAAAGTGTTGTGTGGCAGAGTTAGAGCCAAACCTAGAAGCCATGCTCTTCTCTAGTTCTGTAGTTAGTTTCATATTTAGAGTCAGTTGGGAAATGTTAGGTGGAAATGTAGGAACTAATTCAAGGTAACATAGTCAGAATAAGTGTGAATTATTTAATTTAGGCATGTACAGTTTGAAAATGAAATATTTAATGTTCCTAATGTCATACGCTGAATGTATCAGTAATAGTAAATAGCTAAGATCGGAATAAAGCAAATAATAGCCACTAATATATTCTGCTATTGAATTTTAAACTTTTTAAATCACTAAGTTACCAAAAAATCTTTAAGGTGCATAATATAAGTACAGAGTGATACAGAAGAAATTCAAACACAAATTTCTTTGTGGCATAAGTAACTACTTATGCTGAGAAGTTACTTAAGTTGTTTTTTAATGTGAAGTTAAGTGCTCTAAACGTACAGAAATAATTTTGTGCAAAAGGTTCCACCTATGTGATTATCACCATGTAATGTTTTTATTTTTCTAGAAAGATGTAACAGTTTGGAGAAAACCCTCAGAAGAATTTAATGGATATCTGTAAGTAAATTCTGTTTTATGATTCATACTTTATATTACATGATCACAGTAGAATTTAGTTTTTATTTTTATAGTTTTAAATTTTACTAGAAGCAAAACTGACCTTATAAATTCAAAGCCTTCAAAATGGCCAGATATTTTGTGGATTTGTGTTGGTCATAAATATTAGCGGTAGACAAATAAAACTCTGAATTTCTTAGCATGGCATCCATGACCCTTCTAATAGTCTGCATTGCTAAGTGTTAGTAGAACTTTTTAAATGCCTCTTTTGAGACAGGGTAGCTCCTGTGACAATTTCTGCTTCAGTTTCCTAAGTCCTTGAGTTCCTGTGCCCAGCTAGCCTTCTGTTAAAAAGTTCCCCTGATGACCCCATCAGTAAGATGATAGTAGTTTAGGTGATTGATGTTTTATCATGGCATTATTATGAATATTAAAAACTAACCATCTTGATAGTAAACTATGAAAATATCTGTACTTGGTATAATGTTGTTTGCCTTTAAAAATTGTGTTTTAAAAGATTATTTAATGATATAAAAATTGTTTATACTATAATGCAAAATAGTTGAATACTCATCATAATCATAGGCTTATTTAAAGTATATGTTTTTATTAAAATGTTTTGCCTAAGAGAAAATTCATCCCTAAATAGTAGTATTATGAATAACTTTTGTTCTCCCTTTTTAGTGTTATAATTGAACATGAATTATGCCTATAGTCAAAAAAAATGTCTACTGATTTTTTAAAAAAAAATCAGAATGGACAGTTGCCACATGGAGTTGAAATAGAATGTTCAAATCCTTAGGACTCAACCTTTTTAAAAATGAAGCTGCTGGGCCATATAGTATGTGCTATACCAAAGATACTGTCTGAAGTGCTATACCAAAGATACTGTTTCCAGAAAGATGAGTTGTGCAATATTTTTGATGTGACAGGGAGATTGGAGTTGGATCAAGCATTGTGAGCAATCTGGTAATTAATCCTTTAGATCAGTCATTCCCAGCTGGGATTGAAAGGCATAAAAAGAGCTAAGGGAGAGCTGTGCTGTGGAGACTTAAGGAAGAATAAGAATAGATGTTTCTTAAGAAATGAAGGGCTAATTCATATTCTAGGCAAAGTAATTGTCTCTACTACTTAAATATGGATGAGAAATTTACTTAGGGAGGAGGTTATGCCTACACAGCTGAAGCATCAAGATGGGGTGAGAAATCATGCTTCTGAAGGAGCCTCAGTTCTGTACAAAGGGACGCAGTATTACTGCCCTCTGCCACCTTCCATGCTTCCTCTCTGGGTCCTCACAAGGTTTTGGATTTACTGGAGTAACATTGAGAAAGATGGGAATGACTAAATGAGGGGGCTTTACAGGGTTTGCAAGTAGCTTCTTGGAGACAAACTTGTGACAGTCTGCAGCTCTCTAGGGAAATCCTGTGCCATTCTCAGATATTTGATTCATAGTCAAAGACGTTTTAAGTTTACTGTGTGGCCGAGGGGTGAATGAAATGGTATCTTGTTAGTGTGTATTTGATTGCAGTGACACTGGGGGTATTTATTGATGTTTCCGGCTGTCTTACATGTTTTGCCCATCTTTTGTTGGATTATCATTTTCATTAATTTTAAAGGAATTGTACACATGTAACTTCTAAATTTGTATCCATTTATATGTATTATACAATCTTTTCCAAATCTGTAACTAAAAAGTTCTTAAAAGCCAGTGTAGTCATGTATGGGTGATATGGGTATAGTTTCTGACTTTACAAGGAGACAGAGTCTCACAGCAAATGCCCAGGGCCTCCTTGGCTCTTAGAATCTTTCCTCCCCTTCCAGAATGTTCCTTGAGCCTTAGGTATAGGATTTGTTTTGTAGATGTATCCCAAAACTTGAGCTGAACAAGAACAACATGCCAAAGTGAATGGGGAAAGCCCAGGAGGCCTCAGACCTGTACAAAGAACTACAGGCAACTAGAAAATGCTGAGATGGGGAGAAATAGTCTTCTCCAGGGAACAGTGTGTCAGTTGTCAGCCAGCACCGGGTAGTCAGCCCTGCAACATACGTGCAAGTAACATGCAGACTGAGCAGGTTATATTTAGGAATACATATGTATATACATATATGCATGTAACAGTTAATGAATTTGAAAGAGCAGTGAGGTGTACGGGAGAATGTGGAAGGGGGAAAGGGAAAAGGGTAAAAATATACATATACTAATTAACATTGAGAATAACTAAGGAGAGGACAGTATTACATGGGAGTTTTGGAATGTTCTGTAGACTAGAGCTATATTATAATGTGAAGGGCCATCACTGTTTATGATGACATAGTATAACCTTCAGTTTTCTGTTTCTAGTATGAGGACAAAGGACAAATTTTGAGAAATTGGTAGAACTTTTATTTATTAAACTAGCTGTTAGGATATTTTTCCTTTATAAAAACTCCATTAAGGTTTTCTCCTATTTTCAGTTTTAGCACTGCACTGAAAGTTTTCATTTGGATAGCCTTTGTTTCTTTTCTTCTTCTCCAGCTACAAAGCCCAAGGTGTTGTGGATGACATCGTCAACAATGTAATAGATCACATACGCCCAGGGCCCTGGCGCTTGGATTGGGACCGGCTAATGACTTCACTGGATATTTTGGAGCACTTTGAAGAGGTATCTGTTTAGGAAAATTACTACAAAGGGTGCGTGTGTGGCGGGGAGTGGTGAGTGACAGAGAGAGATCACACGTGTGAGTGTCCACATTTGTACATGCTCATGTTATTTTGTTAATTTCTTCGCGAGTAGCAGTCATAGCAAAGATGCTGTAGGGGAATCCTGTGCTGCCTTCTCAGAGCGCAAGTTTCTCTATTTTATTTCATTTATTTGTTCATTCATTTTTTTTTTTGAGTCACTGTATGACCCTCACTGGCCTAAAACTTGCTATGTAGACCAGGCTAACCTCAAACTAAGGGATCCACCTACCCCTATCTCCCTAGTACTGAGATTAAAGTTGAGTTTCCTAATTTTGATGAGTATTAGTACTGAGTTTTTCCAGTGTACCTCTCCTTTTGTTGCTTATGAAAGTCTTCAGCATCTTTCATTGTAAAATTTTGAATAGGGTCTAAACTCTCCAAGTCAGAAGAAAACACCACCCCTGTATTTAGGGTTTCTAGGTTTAATGTAAATTTTTCAGTTATATTAAATTAAAATCAAAGACCATAGTTAATAAAAACATTGCCTTAAATACTAGACAACTGTTTAGTCAAAGGGGCTTGTTACTTGTTTTTATTTATTTATTACCATATTTGATTTTTTACGTCAAAACATAGCATATTTGCGGATTCTTTTTAATCTTCTAAAGTTCAGAAACAGTTTGTACCTGTACATTCTGTGTATGTACTAGGCCCATATAATTGACTGCATTAATTGGATTAGCCATCTCTAATTAAGTAGAGATTTAGATACTGAAATGTCTCTGTATTTTTATATATCATCATCATGTTCTTACAATTGCATTGACATTTAGAAAAGAAATTATCCTTTTCAGAACCACTGTAGGAATTGCTATTCTTATACCAAAACATTTTGAGTGAATGTCAGTTCTTACTAGAGACTGATCTTGGTATGTGACTCTAGTGTCTGATGGTGACCCCAGTCTGACCTTTTGTCTTCCTAGAATTGCTGTGTGATGCGTTACACCACCGCTGGCCAACTTCTGAATATTATTTCCCCAAGAGAGTTTGTTGATTTCTCCTATACTGTGGGCTATGAAGAAGGACTTTTATCCTGTGGTAATCACCTAAAACTCTTATTCTTTCTTTAAGTCTACTTCACATATTTAAGTTTTAACCCTGAGTCTTTCTATATATGGTATATTTTTAATCACTCATTTATTGCAGTTTTTCTTAAATGCTAAATTCTAGGCATTAAATGACAGATTAAATATCATAAATCTATGACAATCTATTAGTTGAGAGTATATGTTGTTTCATATTGTCATAGGGGATTTTTCATTTTTGTATTAATTAAAATTTGTTCCTTGACAGTGTCACATGTGTGCATAATGCACGCTGACTGCTCTTCCTCACCCTCTTATTACCTTGTCTACCCCAGACGATTCCCTGTATATCTCCTTCTCACATTCATCTCCTCATTTTGTTTGGAGCCTGGTAGACGCAGCAGTGGGCAGACAGCTGAAAATGTCTCCTCCTTTCCCAGAGTCTGTCAGTGTTAACAGTAAGGAGTAGGGCTTCTCTTCCTTAAGTTATTGACAGGCCAGTCTTATATGGCCCCCGTGAAGATGGCTGCAGTTGTGATTTCAGACTGCAGTAGTTGTATTGAGCTTAGAGGGTGGCGTTTTACAGCCCTTCGCTCTTGGTTCTGCCTCTAGCTCCCACCCACCCACCACTGAAATGTCTCCTGGGCCTTTCAGGTTAAATGTCATGTTTAAGGATGAGCTCTCAACCGTTTCTGATCACTTGTTATTCCCAGATACGTAATATCCTTTACTTAATGCATAGCAGAAATAGATAATGTGACTGATTGTGAGAAAGGGATCCAATAGCTGATACTTCATTCCAGGCTTCTAAAAGCAGTTTCTTGGTATTCGTATATGCACATACACATTTCCTTCTTTGAATTATGTTGTATTTTTTTAATTAAATACTACACTGAAAGCCTCCTGTTTTTAAAAATGTGTAGGTAAATTAATACTTTATTATGTGTAGTATAAACTTGAGTTGTAAGTTGTCATCTGCTTGTTTATTTAACTACTGAGTACTGAAGTTGGGGATGGCTATGCTGTGGGGAATAGTTATGGTACCATATAGTTTTGTTCTTGTTACTTTGAGGCCTGGCTGCTGCAGCTAAGATTTGTAGTTTCCAAGGAGTTTCTAAGATGATCTATTCTGAAGGGATTAGGGTTTTCCCCATTACCTGTCAGCCCTGCTCCAGAGTTCTCTTTGGTAGTTATCGTTCTCATTTTGCTGTGGTCACTCCTGGGGATCAGTTTTCATTAGTATGGATTAGAAGAAAACCATTAAAAGAGCAATCTGATAATATTTTTAATGAGATTTTTAGACAAATGCTGGTTATTACTATTAATGATGTCATTTTAAAATTGTCTTGTAGGGGTTAGTCTTGACTGGAGTGAAACGAGACCAGAATTTGTTCGTGGCTATAATCATCCCTGTGGCTGGTTTTGTGTTCCGCTTAAAGACAATCCAAGCCAGAGTCTTTTGACAGGCTATATTCAGACAGACCTGCGTGGCATGATCCCTCAGTCTGCGGTAGACACGGCAATGGCGAGCACGCTAACCAACTTCTATGGTGATTTGCGAAAAGCCTTACGGAAGGCTTAATGTGTTCCACTCCTAGTGCTGAGGTTTGCTGAGCCTGCTCTTCCCCTCGGCTGCATGACCTGTAAATGTCATCAACCCTGTCTGCTGCACAACCCGTAGAAACGCTGGAAGTGTTTTGGGTTCCATAGTACAATCTCATTTTATATTACAAGTGAGTAGCTATGTAAATAGGGCATTTACATTTTTTTAAGCTTTTCTTTGCACTTGTTTGGTTGTGGTAGTGTGTCTGTGAATGAGAAGGATGAAACACCAAGATTTAGACTCAGTGTTGTCATTCGCAGAAGTAAAACAGCACCTCAGGAGGAAATTTTGGCTGCTTGGAAATTACAAAGTGTGCAAGCACAATGCTCTTCATGTTATTTTGGCGCTTTTTGAACATTCTGTAAAATTTTATTGATTCTTAATTTAACTGTTCTACTTTAGTCTTAGTATGTTATGTGAGTTTGCCAATAGTTTGGACAAAAGGAAAAAGTCTTCCATGGTCTGTAAAGACGAAGTTCATTGTTCATGGACTTGTACTGTTTTATGTATTAGAAAGCACAAACAACAAGGGAGTAGCCATTCTTAGAACCATAGGCACAGTTCAGTACAGTGTAATTTTGATATCTCTTGTACAAAGCCTATAAAACATACCCGTGTCTTTATGTGCATTTATTCTGGGAGTGACTGGAAACAGCCCCGTCTACACTGGTGGCACCACACTGAGCAATAGTTGACATAGGAAACAGCTAGTGGTGCCCCTCATACCAGAAGAAGGTCATTGCTAAAAAGTGAAATTCAATGACTGTTCTACACATATTTCAGTTTTAAAATATCACTGAATTTGCAGCTTTGGTCTGGAGCTATAACAGATGTATCCTTAGATTCAGCCGGATGCTTAGATATCCTGAACTATAAATGGGCCTATCTTCAGAGAACATTCTTTCATGACTGTGACATTCCAAGTCATTCTTTGACTTTTGAGTGTCTACTTAGTTTACTTCTAAAATGGGAATTTGTGGTAACTCCTTGTCTACGCACATGTATCTGTGTTTACGTGAACACTCCCCGTGAAATGTCAGGTCTTTTTATGTTACCATCTCCACTCTCCACTGTTGTGGCCATGTGCTGCCTTCCCTTTCCTTTTCTCGTGTGCCGGTTGGTGGTGGTTTGCTTTTCATCTTTTGGCTAGTGTGGAGTAAAGTGGACTCCGGAAGTAACTGCAGGCAGGCAGGCCACAGAAAGGCCCCCAGAGTATATGAGGGTCAGATGCCCGAAGGAATGGTCCAGGGGTGGCTGGTCTGCTCCACAGCAGTCTTTCTCTGGGTGTGAAGTCAGTTTTCCCATTCATCTTGTCAGTCAAAAGGGAAATTGGTTTTATTCTTGCAACTGGTGGTGAAGATACACATGGAGCAAAAAAAGGGGCAGCATCAGCATTTCTGGTGGATAATCTCAGAGCTTTTAGACTGAAATAATGGTTTCAAGACCTGCCAGAAGAGGTTACACAGGATCCTCTGTTACGAGTTTATTAACCACTAAGACCCTTGTCTAAATTGATTGTAACTTTCAACTGTTAGATTTCTTTGGTACTTTTCTCTTCTGCAATAGGGAAAAAATTGCAGTTAAGAGTGTCCAGTGAAGACAGTTAATTGTTAACTGTGTCTTCTGTAACTTCATTTGTTTTTGTTGATGTCAAGCACAAGGTCCCATATATACCATTATTTTGCCCCTGATAAAATAACAACAGCTTGGGAAGACTTTGTAACAAGACGGTAAACATGACTGTCAGGGTGATCATTGCCTGAGCCGGGGCCTCTAAGGATACCAATGCTTGTCCAGTGTCACTCAGCTAGTGTTCCTTTTGTTTTCATCAACTTAGACCTCCAGTGAGTGATCAAGTATTCACTTCCAGTAATAACCCTGATAGAAATGTTTCGCTGTCATTTGAGTTCCACAGTGGATTCAGAAGTTACATCTGAATCCTCTGAACTTTCTGTGTATAAGGTAGAGTTTACATAGGATGCAGCTTACCTGTGGTAAATATATGATTGCGTTCTTTTGAAGAGTTGTGCAGCCATCAGCACAGTCCAGTTTTAGAGTATTTCTGTTGGCCAAAAGATCCCTTTGTCTGTATCTACTGTGTATTCTCATCTAGCCAGAGTGTAGAGTATCCCCGTTGCCAGCATAGGGAAGGAGATGAGGAAGATGCCATTAGAGCTTGTTTGGTTTTGTTACTAAGAGTAGAGAGGTGTGTGTGTGTGTGTGTGTTTAAACTCAGGAACGTTTATATGTTTTAAGTGTGTTTATCTCAAGTATTATAAAAATGCTGTAAGGCGGGGAAGATACTAGTCTATAGTTAGGGCTGCTGCTTTATAGCTGTGTTATCACAGGAAAACAATGCAAGCCATATATGTAACTTAAATATCCTAGCAGAGGCTGGAGAGGTGTCAGTAGTTAAAGAGCACCCGCTGTTCTTGCAGAAGTCCCTATTCTGTTCCCAGCACCACCATGGAGGCTTATAGCTGTCCATAACTCCAGTTCTGGAGGATCTGGTGCCATGTGGCCTCTGCAGGCACTAGGCATGCACAGAGTGCATGTGTGTGTGTGTGTGTGTACATATATTTGTGTATATATATACATATATATACAGAAAAAACACTCATATACAGAAAAAATACACAGCTGAAATTCATTTTAGCAGTGTGTTCTTTAATTCACTGTATTTAAAATATTTCAGTATGCAACTAATGTTTTTAAAAAGTTATTGAGATACCTTATGGTCTCTATTAATTCTTTAAAGCAGGATGTGTGTTTTACTGCTGTAGACTAGCCGTACTTCAAGCATTCACTAGCCACATGAGGCCTGTACCTATTGTAGTGAACAGTTCTACAGTGTGTGTACCATTTGTCTTGCTGTAAGATGAAGTGGACAATTCTTGAATTGCTTTCTTAAACAGAAACCCTTTATAGCCCGGCCCTTTTAGTGCTTGCTAAATAAGACATGATTTCTTCAGAAATATACATAAATTACTGATTCCTAGTGAATTAAAAATTATTGCCTCAAAATTATTTTTGTTGAAAGTAGCATTTGCTAGGACAGTGAAGGACATGAAAGAATATAGCCTACCATATCACTGTGTCGTTGTTTGCTGTAGCTCAAAGCTTGCTAAGGAAAGACTTGCTACAACGTTAGCTTCAGTAGACACTGCTGTTTTTAAACAATAGTTTCATCTAAGTGACATCTTGGTAGGGAATACTGGTTTTTGTTGAAAATTCATGATTATTCCTCAATGATTAAAGCAATACTCAGCAAAAACAACAGACTGGAGTGTTCTCAGTTCTTTGCTATAAACCCCTGGAGTATTAGCATATAAACATCAGGATCTCTTGCCTGCACACAAGGTGTATTTGAAGATGGGGTTTCCAGGTGTAAAACTTTAGTCCTAGCTAACAGGACGTTCTCCCTTCGTCTTCCTTTCTTTTCTACTTGAAGATGGCTTGACTATTACTTAGTGAATTAAAGTAACGTCTTGAGGTAAGAAATGTCGCAGAGGTTCTAGAGAAGAGGAAATACTGCGATCTGTCCTCCTCACTGTCTCCTAGGCTGTTAGAGCTGGGAACTCCCTTTGATGCGGATGGCAACTTTCTTACCTCTCTGAGAGCATAGTAGCATCTTTAGGATCAGGTGCTAGTTCCCTTTAGTTACATGGATGTTGTAGCTTCTGAACCCAGTAAAGAAGGTAACAGAGCCAGAGACGCTAATGGAAATCTGGATTTGATGAGGGCTCCTTTAAAACTTCTGTGGCCACTTGTGTAGTCTCTTTCCCCTTCCTTCATTTCTTCTGTGAGGCTAAGTCCTGGTGCATGCCAGGGCTAAGCTATACTTGTGACCCCTAAGTGATCTCACTGGACTTCTAGAAGTATGGGATGGTGAGATCTGAGCATAGAAGAAACATGAGCTTCATTCTAGAGCATGTGACTGGACTTACAATTATTTCATCATTGTGTTTCCGGGGATTTTATACATACTGTTATGTATTAAAATTCATCTCTTACAGTCCAACAAATGATGTATTGAGACCATTTTTAGGAAGTTTATCTTTTTGTGAATCTATATATATGGGATTAGAATAAATATGTTATAAATAAAATGTATTTATTTTTAAATTACAGTGGAGTATATCTGAATAAAGATTTCTAGACACTCTTGTTTCTGGTCATTGATCTTGTTTGTGTAAGTTACTTTAACCTTAAGCACTGACCAAATGCTTATATATCTGAATTTAGAGAATGTTATTTAAACACTTGAACTGTTCAAAAACAAAAGTACAAGCCTGGAAAGTAAAGTTAACAAGTCTGCCGATGTCTCATAATATTAGCAACAAACAATACTGCTAAATCTTTATTTGCAGTTTACAGCCTTACATATCTATAACAACATACCTGAGGAAGTTAACTGATTAAAGAGAAAAGGTTTGTTTTGAAAGCAGGTCTGAAAGTTCTAGTCTAGCATCCAGTAGCCTTGGCTTGGACCTTTGGTAATAGCAGCATACTAGAGGGGTAGCGTGTGCTGGGAAAAAACAAAAAGAAACAAAACCCTGCTTGTCTCCTGTCCAGATAATGAAGAGAGGAGAAAGACTAGACAGTCCCATGTTCCCCTACTGTTCCCCAGTGACCTCTGCACCTCCCATTAGATGCCACCTCAGAACCACCAGGACCAAGTTTTAAGTACATGGACCTTTGTGAAGGCCTTCAGCTCTTTTGTAACAGGGCCAATTGGGCACATCCCAATAATTGTGCTAAGTTGACTAAGGGTAGTGAATACTTTAATTTGCAATTGGAAGTGGTTACTAAGAATACCTATTATCTAGGTTATTAAAGAGCAGCTAGGGCTGGCGTAGTATGTTAAAATACATGACTCTGAGGTGGCATATGCAGGGCATTTCCTCACCTAAACATCTGGTTTATGTCAGTTAGCCCAGCTGATGGCTTTGGGAGGTGATTAGGTCGTTCATAGTTCATTTAGTGCCTCCTGACATGTATGGACAGTAAAAAAGCAGCCTAGACCAGATGCCAAACCTCCAGGCACTTTAATCTTGGACTTAATCTCCAGAAATACTTGAAATATGTTTGTTTATAATCTACTCAGTTTATAATATTTTGTTGCAGCTGAAATGGACTTAGACATCTGCATAAGTAATCACTAATATTTTTCAACTGAAGAATTCAAGAACAATGGTTCTGCTGTCATCCTGATCTTTCTAAGTGATAACAGACCAGGCCTGGGGATTGATGGCAAATAAATGTATTCAAGTTGAGAAGGCAAAGCGATGGTGCTTTCTGTCTGTCTCTCTGTCCCCCAACTCCCCAATGAAAGCTGTAAAGGTGGCTGGGATCAAGAGTAGGATTTCCAGCCTTTTGGAGAGTGGTGACTTTGGATGACCAGCCATAACAGTGCCCACAGGTTGAGCTTTGGAAGGTATATGTGAGATTTCTCTGGATGTCTGGATGCCATATAGGTAAAGGATGGCCCCCTTCTAACATAGTAATGAAAATATTGTCTTGCACTATTAAGATACATATTGGAACCCCTTCTAATGACAGATACTGCATGGCTCTCATTCCCGTAGGTCACTAGGTGAAGGAGCTTTCCTCAGGTTAATCAGTGGCTGATGTTATATGGCATCTGCCAGCATGGTTCTGTTTGCACGCTCCTGTTACTCTGAGCAAAATCCACATTTTATACAAAGGCTTTTATAACCAAGAGATGACAGAAATGCCAGTATATCCCAGGAGAGAAGGCACATACCGTGCTCATGTGTTATCAATTGTGTGGATGGGTGAGCCACGGGATTTACCATCAAAGTATGGAGGAAGCAGGTGTGCCAAAGTAAGTTTTTTATTCATTAGTATTCACTCCTGGAACATTGTAATCCTAGGTAATGTTTTGCTTTGGAGAAATTTCTTAAGCATGGGGCAGCTGACTTTATTAAGGGAAGTCTAGAGGTTGCAAAACCACAGTGAGGTAAAAATACATGAATGCCAAGTTGTCTTGGTAACACATTGATTTACTGAGGGAGTTCCTGTTTCTGTCTAGTATTTCCCTCCATTCCCTCAACTGAGAAGTCCTTGTTTAGGGTATTGGCATTTTCTCAGCAAAGGAAGAATCTTGGGCGGAATGGTGGTGAACATAAAAATATCAATAATGACTGATACAACAAGGTTTGAAAATTTTTAAGTAAAAACACTAGAGGAAAAAATGACTTTTGGCAACTGGTATGGTAATTTTCTGAATTTTCATATCTTTGTAAGGAAAAGTCAGTTTTCATGTGAATTGATGCAGTAATGTCCAGCAGATATTTTAGTAGTGAGTACGGGACTGAACAGTGGACAGCACCACTGCCCCTCTCAGCCACCACGAGCTTACATTAGTATTAACTTCCTAGCTGTGTTCATTCACTTTAAATAAAATGGACTTACTGGATGAAATAATTATTTATATGCTTGTCTAGCTTTATTGATTTTACAATCTTACTCTTTAGGAAATAAATAATGTGGACATGCAAGTATTGAAAGTACTATAGACAAAGTACAGTTTTATCCGAGAGAAGGGTGATTTGGCTGTGCATTTCCGTTCTCAGGTAATGTCCATGGTGTGTCTTGACTCATGGTAACCGTTCAAATCACAGAATGCAAAGTTCTGATGGACTCTTACATGATTTATTATCATACTGTACATGCAGATTCCTTTACAGATTGGCTAGCTGCAAGGCACTGGCTAGCTGCTTTTGGCATGCTCTGGCGGTCTGGGTGAACTTACACAGTTACATTGGTCCTCACCTAAGTCACTCGCTACTCATGTCCCAAATTCCTTCTTCAAGGTCTTGGCCAACACCCCGACTGTCATCAGGTGAGCACATTTAATCATTGAAGTGGATTGTCCAACCTTGCATCCAAGAAGAATCCAGTGAGCTGTCAAATGTCCTAGAATTTGGCAGTTGAGAGAGAGCCAATGGCTGCCCTGTTCACCCATACTGAAGGACATCATGCCTCAACCATTAGCAAATGGACATGGTTTTGTTGACTGCTTTGCAAACATTTTATGTATTTACATTTACAGCCAAGCCAGACTTAACATACTTCCCTAAAAATAGTAGAGTTGCGTCTTTGTATTAAGGAATCGATAGCACCATTTTGACACATTTAGAAAATGAAATGCCCACAGCTCTTTTGTAGTACTTTTTATTAGAAAGTGAAGAGGCCAACCATAATCTTAGCTGGGTAAGGTATTTATACTCTCCTCCAATTCATACATGCTCTCATTTTGGACTAATGACTTGTGCTCTAGACTACAGGAAATCTGTTTTCTTGCATATGATGCTATTCTGTGCTCCTCCATGCTGTTATTGAAGGTGCATATGTCTCTTTAGTTAAAAAAAAAAACCTTTCAACAACCATCAGTGCAAATTTGACATCTAAGATCTAAGAAAGTCTCAAAAAGACACCCCAGATAATGCCATCTAAGCCTGAAAACCCCTCATACCAAGTCGTCCTTACTCAGTGTCCACTAGCCTGTTTTCTGTGTCCTAACGATATCTTTACTTCATAGCAGAATTCCCCCCTTCTACCCAGATGCTAGTCTTTGTCTCTGTCTCTCATTCCATGTATCCTGTAGAAATGGAACCATCCACTATCCACAGACATTACCAGAAATAAGCAACGATACACAAGTCAGGATATTCACATTGTAATTCTAATTGGTAATTTTTTTTTACAAAAAAAAAGTGTCTTGAAGATGAATGGAAAAATAATTCCTCCAATACGAGATATAATAAATTCTTTAGATTTTTATCTGTTTTATAATTATAAATTTGTAGATTATATACACTGGACAAAAGAGTGAAGAATTAAGAACCTGGCAGGACCAACTTGAGGTCTGAAGATTAGCTGTGGCCGTACAGAAGCGTGCGTTCACTATGTTGGGTGATTTTTACCCTGCTGAGATACAGGCTTGGAGGCTGGCCAGGTAGTGGAGCAGGTGCTCTGGAGAAGAGCTTCCCCCGCAGCTGCCCAGAACCAGAGGGCAGCAAAGGCTCAGCTTAGATCTTCACTGTGACCTCAGCCTTTCTCATCGCGTGCCAACCCTTCTCCCCAACCTGTGTTCCTCCACTCCTTAGTCAGAGATGGCCCGTTTTTTCTCCTTAACTTCAAAGTCGGTCTGACCCTTCAAAATCAGCCTTGCACATTCTTGGCAGAAGAGACCATTTTCCTCTGTCCAGACCTGGAGTGCTTTACTGTCTGTAGGTATTCAGTATAGGCTATATGTGTGGTTGTTTGCCTTTTCTTTCCTCTGTCCAGACCTGGAGTGCTTTACTGTCTGTAGGTATTCGGTATAGGCTGTATGTGTGGTTGTTTGCCTTTTCTTTCCAGCTAAGAAGGCTTAGCTACCTGAAGAGCAGCACTGAGCTTAATTCACGCCTGACCCCTAGTACAAGCAATGGCTCGACTGTGAGCATTCACTGTGAGAAAGGGATTCCTGGAATGGGCTATTTCTGGGAGCATTTTGCTATAGTGAATCATGTCCTTAAAGTTTGCTTTCCACGAAGGCCAAATATCCTCTAAGCCATACTGCTAATTTCTAGAAAGAAAAGTAGCTGTTGATTTTGAACTGTTCATTTTAATGTTTTAAGTCTATGAATAACTGGCTTCAAACTTCGAGCCATCTAGAAGATGAGCAGATAAAAACATGCAGTCCCCTCTCCTTCCAGTTGTCCCCCGTCTGTGCTAACCAGAGGATGACTCATGTCTTTTGTTCCCGTATTCTGTAACTTCTCAGTGGCTGTCTCATCTTACTGACTGCCGCAACAGTTTAAAGAACAAGACTATGCCATTCCGTCATACAGTAATGGTAGATATTCCTAACAACAGGCTGATAATCGCCTCCTAGTCAGTCTCTCATTTGTGACCTTTGCAGTTACAAATGTAGAAAGTCAAACTGAAGCAAGCCACAAATGCCTAAATTTCCCTCCGTAGCTGGGTTACTTGGTTTCCTTAAGGCAGATACTTTGGAATGGGTAATTTTTCCAGATAGAAATAGACAAAAAGGATTCTTCTTAGTTTCTAAATATGCTAGAAAAGTGAAGTATTTACTGAAGGCTCTTTTCACCTGAAATCTAGAATACTCAGAGAAGCGGGGTATAGGAAAGTAG